AATGACAAGCATTTGAGTAGTCAGTTCTGACATTTTAAATCGAGCTGTTTCTATATCTGAGTAACAAAAAATTGTGCTTCATCTAATTCAATAAGTTCAAACATTGCAATTTGAGCTGTTTGATATATCTATGTATCCAATAAAGTAGAGGACCAGCATGCATTGAGTTGCAACTACTAATTAGAGAACAATCAAAGTCATTTTGAACTCTGAATAACGAGTACCGGCTATTAGCCATGCTTGCTTCATGAATAGTCGGACAACCGCCCGCAGCCTCTGCATGAGAGGGTGCTTATTGGCATACTACATTCAAGTAACACACAAATATGATAAATGATAATAACAACTTAAACCTATCTTATTTTATTACCTCAAAGTTTCAGAACTAATATAACCCTATTTACTTCGCTGAAAAGACAAGCTGAAAAGTATTGTTCGTTGATTTGTTGTGAGAGAAAAACATTGTTCCTTCACTGAAAAAGTATGGCTGATAAGACAAGCGGGCAAGATAAAAGCATGAACTCTCCTATTTTTAGTTGATGGAAGAAGCTATTTTCATATATATGAAAGAGGCTAGCTAATTTTAATTTTAAGACTGCACACAAACTTAAGGAAATAATCGTCTAAAATAAGATTAAAATTTTGAAACTAAACTTTTACTTCAAGGTAAAAGAAAAAATTACTAGCTGAAGCAACACTATGACCCAAGAGTAAAGCAAGTTCATAGCATACAGCGATGATGACTCACGAGAAGGGTCATCTGACCAAATCCACCACAATCAGGCACTGACAATTGATTTGATTCAATCTGTATTCCTATGAATTAAACGATCTGTGTTCAAATCAAGGATCAGGGGAAAGCTTGATGCCCTGTCCAAATGGGTTATGCTGCCACTGTGACCTGTCCTGATGAGAAGTTCCTTGGCTCAGACAGCCTTTTCAAGTTACTGGCTGCATAAAACTGTCAGCGCATTAATATATCATATGAAATAATTTGATAAACGACAGTGAGGCCAAAATGATAGTACTTAAGCAAAGACCAAATGAAAAATAATTTTGTTCCATAGAACAAAAGATTAAACTCACATAAATTTGACGCTTACAACATCGACGTATACAAATAGAAAATAAAAATTGGTGATATGGTCCAGTACTGGAATATGCATCAACCACGATAAATAACAATGCTGTTAAGAGCAACATCATGTAGAGAATCTTTTTAAATTGAAATAATCTAGAACAATGGAAGGAGATTGGGGCAAACCTAAGAATCTGAGATCTGCAGCCTGCAGACCATCCTCAACCACGCCGAACTGGAGATCGGTGGCAAACCCGAGAAGCGAGGGTCTGCATGTGAGCTAGTGGCAATGCGGAGGTCCAAGGCCGACTGGCGCTTGAGTTCGTGGGGAGGAGGCATGGGGAGCCTAAGTCGCCGGCGGCCGGGAGGCGAGCTGGGGTCGCCTCTCGAACGGAGGAGTCTGGGGGCTTGCCGGGCGCTGTGGTTGAGCGGAGGAGGACGGGAGGAGCTCGGGGCGCCTGCCGAGCGGAGGCCGCAGTGGGGGCGACCGGTGGCCGAGCAACGGGCAGTGGCAGGCACGAGGCTCGATCCGCGCGTGCTTAGTCCGCCGGCGGCGGGGCGCCTTCCGCGCAGACGCGGTGGGGGCGGCCGGCGGCCGGGCGACGGGCGACGGGCAGGCGCGAGGCTCCGCGAGTGAGAAGGCGGTGGCCGAGCAGGCGGTGACCAACCCGCGGCACTCAAGGGGAGGTGGTTGCTGGAGACAATGCGGATGGTGGATGACGGACTGGGCGAGCCGCCGCCAGGAGCGGGGGAGCGCAGGGCGAGAAAGTGAATCGGTTGGAGGTATTTTAGGGTTATTATAAGGTGGTGGTATGACATGGACCTGACATGCGGGAATCGTAATTTTGGGCTCATTTGGCGCGGGTTCTCGGTGCCAGTGGGATGTATTTCGATTGGAATTTTGTAATCCCGTACAATTTTTTATTGTGGATGTTGGGAATTATTTTTTTCCTTCTTCAAGCAACTAGTTAAGTAACCCTATGAACTAACACGTAAAATATTTTATTTTATACGTCCAAATATGTTTTTACATTTAAAATATTTTAGCAATTTGTGTTCGGTGTACTATAAATTTTTTTTTAAAATTGTTCGAGCGAACTTGGATGTAGAAATAAACAATACCAAAGTTGTAGATCTCAATCAGAACTATAGCTTTGTAGTTGACGATTGTTTCATTTGAAATCATTTATGGTCCCAAAATTCTGTTTGGAGTTTAAATATTTTGAAATTCAATCTTTTAAATTGTTCGAACGAACTCCGATAAAGAAATTACCAAAACCAAAGTTGTAGATCGCGATGACATGCTTTTATTTGGGCCATCTTCTGGTGCTTGACGTGCCCGTGCGTTGTGGTTTTGGGCCACCACACGTGGCTCATTGAATTTTTTATGTTTGGGTGTTTGAATTTTCTGTGAGTTTGCTCCACACTGACACATAAAAAAATAATACAGACCATATAATCTAAGTCTTTTAGGCATTGCCTTTTTAGATTTTTCCTGCTTTTTCGTGAGTTTTCGGCGGGCCAGTGCTTTTGCATATACACAATTCGTTTTTTGAATTACGGGGTACATAGTTCATGTGAGCCCAAATATATTTTTATGTAAGATTTTCAATTTTATTAGGGGTACACATAGTTTAATTTACAATTTATTTCAATTGACACGTAAAAATTCATTGAAATTATAGAAAATAGTGGACTATTTCCAAAATTTCCAGAACCTCTTATTTCGGTAACTTGTGATAAACATAAGGTTTTGTCAAAATTTGAGGTACATATGAGTTCAAGTTTCATGTGAGATGTGCAAACTTCAAAGTATGACTTGAATTACAGCGACTTATGTTTGAGGTGTATTTATTTTGTGAATGATTTATAGGCTCCTTTTATTAAAGTTATTTGCAATTTTTATGGCAAGCATATACAGCCAAAATATGATTCCATGTAAATTTTTAGATTTCTTATACCAGTATTACAACTCCTAAAAAAGTATTGGAAGGAATAAAGAATGCCATCTCCAAGAGTTTCTAATAATCCACTCTTAAAATAGAGAAAATAATTTCAGGAATCATATACTATTTCTAAATTATCCTAACCACTTTTATATATTCTTTCTCTCTTGTACATTTGTATCAGGAATCCTTTCCTACTCTTTATTCTTTCTACGCCCTTCCACCTTTAGATTGGCCGACAAACAAGCGCGGGGAGAGAAGATACGCGTGACTCGGAAGCGCGTAAGTTTACGCGGAACAGGGTGACTTTTTCCAAGTTCTAAAAGATTAGGAGGATGGATTAAGAGTTGTTGGAGAGGGGTTTTTTCTCGTCTTGCTAAAAACCAAGGATTAGAAAGGGATTTAGGGAACTCTTGGAGATGCTCTTATGTATTATTAAATTTTGTGGTAATCCAAAGATAAAAAGGTTGAATTATCCATGCACATCAATTGATTTCTTTCATCTATCTCCACCACAAACGATTGAATGGACCATATAAACCCAATATATTCTTTATGTGATTTATTCAATGTAACTAGGGAAACGCACACTTCCATTTAGAATTTGTTTCATTTGGCATGGATTCAAACTATAGAAAATAGTGAACTATTTCCCAAATTTTTGAAACCTTGAAAGAATCTGTGAATGGTTAGATAGGAGGTGAATAGTGCAACCACTACGATGTGGGCGCTGGAGTGAAGCCGGTGGATCACCAAGAACCTTTTCATGATTCAATTAAAGTTACTCTTCGTGAGCCTCCCGTGAGATGAGCACAAGAGCCCCTCACAACCCTTCGATCAAAGTCACCCCACAACCACTAGAGTTTGTCTCTTGCTTCGTCACCATGTCACTAGGTGGCTCTTTGTCCTCTATGTCATAGGTGGCTCTCAGTCTCTTGCTTCACGGGCAGGGAATGTAACTTAGACATTTATGTGACACATGTATCTCGGTCCTGGTAATAATTTTAAGTATCATGTATGTTTAAGTTAACCTTTCTAGTTTAAGTGTCATATATGAAGTCAATATAATACATAGGTTCAAGCATCGTTTATGTTTAGGTGGGCTTAACAAATATCATGTATATTTTTAAGTGAATTTACAAGTTCAAGTGTCATATATATGTACGTGAATTTATCAAAATAGATAAGACTTATAAGACATATAGGCCCCGTTCGCTTGTCTGAAAAAAGAAGACAAAACACTGTAGCGCCTGGTTGTGAGAGAGAAATACTGTAGCGGCTGGTTAATGAATAGTGCTGCTGTGAGGAGAAACCAGCCGGCTGGTCTGAAATAATATTATAAATTCTTAGATAAAGCATGTATAAAATTAGATTAATTTCATGAAAAATGTTGTGTCTACTAGTGACGTGCGAAGCGCGAGGATTTGGCTCTCGCGAGCGCGGCAACATTTGGCGGCAAAAATCTGGCCGTGGGAAAAAAAAAGGGCGCGTGCGGGATGGGAGCACCAGCGCGAAGCAAAGCCAAATCGCAGCAAGAATACAAGGGTCGGTCCTCCATCGCGCCACCGGCTCGTTGCCATTGCTCTCGATCGCGCCGCAGCTGCAGCAATCGCGAGGGGAATCAACCCTGTTCAACACCCCGCGAGGCGACGACGAGCGCTCGTGCTCCAAGGCGCTCTCGCCGGTAAGTGTTAGCGTTGTACGGGGCCTGCGATTCGAGTCAACGAGCGGGCAGATCCGGTACAGGCGCGCGCTCGGCGGCGGCCCTTTTCCTCGGTAGCAGCGGATCCGGCCTGGCGGCGCCTCTTTCCCATTGGCGACGGCAACGGCCCGGCGTCAGCATCGGCTTGTTCCATGGCTGCGGGCTAGAAGGGGGCCACGGTGCACAGGTGAGAGTGGTCGTGCTTGAGCTTGTGGTCTCTGATTGCAGGTCTGCGGGCTAGAAGGGGGCATCGCCGTGTCCTGCGGCGGGACCAATGGCATCAGTGGCGCCGCCGCCGTGTCTTGGCCGTTGGTGCGGTACCTGCAGCTCCAGTGGCAGGTGAGCGCCTCTCCCCTTTCTTGGCCCTTTGTTTTCTTCGTGCGTGTATGCATTTGTTTCGTAGCAGTTAACTTCCTCATGGTGAAGGATTTCTTTATTATTTTATTATGAGCGTTTAGTGACTCGAACACCCAGCTGTGGCCTATGGGATGGGATTAATGCTGAATCGTATGACTTAAGTTGCCTCCTACACGGTCCATTGACAAAACTAATTGTCGCTGAGTGTGATTTAACTAAGGAAGCTGCAAGAGTTTTAGAAAAAAGTAGAAAAATAACCTCACACATTTTATCTTGGACGTTTGTTGAATTGCAGACCATGACAACTATTATTAGCATTTAGATTTATATTTAAAAAAGATACAAGAAATTGCCAACATGTGTCCAAAATATTAATTCTTTAACTACAAGAAATTGCAAAAGATTGGACCGACAGGTCTGAGGAGCAATTTAAGAACAAAGTTATTATACAATGTGCAAAGCTACAGTCAAGTCAACTAGTTTTTCACTGTGTGTGTCTCATCTTACTGAACATTAACCACTCCTGTTTCAGGTATCTGTTCTGTCCAGAGTGAACCATAAGAACCTGATGAACTTGCTTGGTTACTGCATCTAATACTTCATACTTTGCTTATGCTCGTTGAACAGTATAAAAATGCCTATTACATGTGTTGCCTGTAAATGAATTTAGATCAGTAACACTTAGCTAAGAATTTCAGTTTCTCATACCCATGTCGATGATATTGAGTTGGAGCTGTCCAGTTTCTGCAAAATAAAGCCTCATTATCATCTCGATGTATTTGCTTTGTACTGAGGTTTGCTCTGATATCTGTTCTCTGTTTCTGTACTTCTAGGATCAGAGATAGTGCTTCTGATGCTTCTGTTAACAGAAGGTTTGCTCTATAGCCTTTTCTTTGTGTTGTAGTTCCCTTCTTAATCTTTTGCTTTTTGTTTGTGCTGTAGTTTGAGATGAGGGAAAATTGTTTAGCTTATTTGTGCTATAGTTAGAAAAACATTTAACATGTAAGGTGAAATTACAGCTTGTGTAGCTCTGGTTTGGATAATAAATTCGTGTATTAAATGGCCTTTCTTTTGAAACATGTATTAAATTGGTACATCATTCTCATGTTGTGTATTAAATTCGTGTATTAAGTGGCCTTTCCTTTGGAACATGTCTAAATTCATGTAATACAGATCGTGTAGTCAGAAAAATGTAATATTTTGTTTGTATATATGGAGGTTGATTATTAGTACATCATTCTCACCTATATTGCTTAAATTTGTATGCTCAGCTTTACATCGATCTCATAGATTTGTTAGCTTTAAATGACTTGATAGACCTTGTGCTTTATGTTTTCTGGTAGTACTAGTGGGTTTGTACTAATTATCTGCCAACATGTTTAATAGGACTGACAGTGGTTTCAGCTTTGGATGTTTTTTTTCCTTTGTTATACCCGGTGATTTCTAGATCAAGGCATAACTTCTGCATTCTTGACATTGAAATCCTATGACCAGGTCTAATTACTTTGTGTATCTTTGGTTCTACACCGCTCCACATCGGCTTTTTCATATTTGCTGCCATTGCTCCTCCAATTGTATTATGCCGAAAATCATTAATGTAAGCTTCCTTATAGATTGAATAAAGAATTTTCATCAACCATCATACTTCTTAAGTTCTTACCGGCCAAAATTGTTATGTTTGTTGTTTCTTTGGTTGTAGGTTCTGGTCGTGAGGAATGATCTGAAGATTGGTAAGGGGAAGATTGCTGCACAACTACAGGTGAGACCTTTGCTTCACTAAGCCATGTTTTAAGATTAGTATATACTGGGAGATGTCTGTGATAAACTTTTTTCACATAGTGGTATACCAGGTATTAAGTAATCCGCAAGTGCACAAATAATATACCACTGTAGCATTTCACCCGGGAGTATATTAGATATCGTTATTTATATTTTATCCACAGGGGGGAGCTATGGGGTTGGCATAGAGATATTGTCAAATATGTATACTTATGACAAGATCATTAACTCTCATGCTATAGCAGGGGTAACTCAAATGATAAATAAATGATAAGTGTAAGGCATTAATAGTAATCTAGAGATAGAAATAGATACTCATAAATGTAGTATGGCTAGACAGGAGATTAGTTAAGAGCAAAAGATTTCTAAGTCATTCCTTATTTACTAAGTCTTTTGTACACCCAAGTATATACACTCTTATCTATAGCATAAATTAACTTTGGATCTATGCATAAGGAACATTACTAAGGAAGATCAAGAATGGAGCTTGACTAAGTCTTTTGTACCATGTTTTAAGATTAGTATATACTGGGAGATGTCTGTGATAAACTTTGTTGGCGGATGATGCATCATCTGGTGGGCCTACATTCAGATCCCTATCATCATTCAAAAATATGCCAGCGTTACCTTTCTCTTTGATAAAGTTCTCATCAAACCCTTTAGTTAGCAAGTCCATTTGAACCTCGGATTTTCTTTTGTACATGACTCCACAACACCTTGAACATGGACATGGTGCAGTTTCTGATGCATAGGTGCCTTCGAAAATAGTATCAATAAATTTGTCCAGACCTGCTTGCCACTCAACTGATGACCGAGGCAACAGCATCCAACTCCGATCATCATGTGCCATTAATTATATCTTCGAAATATCACAATGATTTCCTGTAGCACGTTAAATTGAAGGGATCATGACATTATTATAAACTTTATTTATCAGAGATAAAGAAAATTAAAAATCTGTCAATTTTCTGAGCCAAGCTTAAAAAAGGGCCCTTTACTTTAATTATAATTTAATAAACTTTAATGCATCCAAAGAGCATTTTTATCAAACTTTATATACTAGTATATCTAGAGCAATATTCAGAAGCTTAGCACTGTCCATTGTGACAACAGCTACCCAGCGTGTTTTGCTGTTTTCTCCATCCATGCTCAGAACAGTAGTTAATGGAAACAAATGATTATCTCCTTAAAATAAATGTGATGAACCGAAACTCAGATTGGAGTATTACACATTAAGTCACAATAACTAATCAACACTGCTAGACCAAGCCAAAAACGAAACAGCTAGACCTCAGCATAAATAGAGTATCATTGGCTAAGAATGGAATGTTTATGCACTAAACCAGACAAATTAAAAAAATATGTGGATTAGCCAATGCATCTGAATAAGAATCTTGCAAAAATTTGTCTAGATTATCAACAACAGTGAGTAATTTGATCTAGTCAAGTACCAAACTTAACAGTAATATGTAGAGAAAAAACTGAGCAATAATGCAAGCATACGTGATTCTCTTTTTCACGTCGATGATCGCTGGCTGGCCGCTGATCGTCTCTCTCGTGGATGATGAAGGGTGCGAGGTGAAACTGGTTCAGTGCTCCGTCCCCTCTCGCATGCCGAGGAAGGACTGGACGGTGCTCGCTCTCCTTATCTCGTCGATGATCAAGAAGGAACTAGGGCACCAATATGCCGTAGTCGCTGCAGGGAATTCAAGGGCCGTGACGACTATGGCCGTAGGGAAGGGGCACCGCGACGACAAAGGCTTCAGGGAGGCCTTGACCCCGCTAGCTGCTGGTGCTGGCTGTAGGGATCAGGGGGGGCTCCACCACGTTCTTCGCAAGGAGACAGCGCGTGGGGGAAGAAGAGAGGCCGTGGGAGAGAAGGAGCCGCGACAGGAGCTACAGGCCGCGACCTCTACGTGATATGTGAAATTAGATTAGATCCTTTTTTCCAATATAACTGGTCAACATTAATTAATATAGGGTACTTTCGCTATTACTAGCACAAACATAGACGTAGCCTAGTGGTAGGAGCTTACTTTCAAGACCAAGAGGTCTCAGGTTCGAAACCCATATTGTTGTCATTTTTTTTAAAAAAAATTATGCAACCATTAAAGTGGAAAGGCTTAGGTATTGCAACAATGTAATTTTTCGTTGCTATTTTATAACCTTTTTGCAATGAATGAAACTGCTACATACAACGAAACCATAATCGTTGCAACCTTAGTGATTGCAACAAACTATTTTTTTCGTTGCTATATGTACCAATTTTTTGCAACGCAAGCGACTATTATATACAACGGAACATATTCGTGGCGATATAGATGGGCTATTGCAACCATAAAATAAAGAGTTTCCATATCACCTTAGTATTGCAATGAAAATAAACTTGCCCGCAACGCAAATTAAATAGTGGCAACATTAATCACTTATTGCAACCGTTCAATAATTTGTTGCGATAACACTTACTTTTTGCAACGATCTCCACACTTATGGCCACAAAACAATCTTCATGGCAAAAAACCAATCTATCGCAACCAAAAGTGAAAATCGTTGTGATAACAACGCTTGTTGCAACGAAACCATGCCGTTGCGACAAAAAAGCGTGGTATAAGGGTCAGAAGTTAGTAGTGACACCGCAAGAAGATGCGATACCTCCAATTCCATACTGACATGTTGATCCATCAAGTCTTCCTCCATCCGGCCATCATCATCATTATTAGCCACCAATGATTACTCCTGTCCTATGTCAAAGCCAAGGCCATGTATTGCCATGGCGCACGCCCAGATGCCTCCGGTGGCTAGCTACCCCACGGATCCATGATGCCGATGCGGAAATCCCCGGCCTCCGATCCAGTTCGTCGTGGCCGCCGCCGCCACCACCATGGCTGCCATGCCCACGGCCAATGCCGCCACCGCCATGGCCACGACCACCGTCACCGCGGCGGCCACCGCCACGGCCGCCGCCACTGCGGCTTGCACAACTGCCATCGTCGCCGCCTCCGCCATCTCTACACCGCAATAAGATGCGATACCTCCAATTCCATACTGATATCTTGATTTTGATCTATGAATATGCATCACATCCATACCATATTTGTATTGGACACCAACCTACGACACCCATGCCTCCAGCCCAGTCCAACTTTATATTTCTCAAATTATTTTTTGACAGGTTGTTTCCATCCTTTGTATGTCTCAAATTATTTTTTTTCATCAGATTGTTTCTTTTGGTAAAATATCCATTAATTTGATGGCTATGTTTCTCCATCAATTCCATTGTTTGTTTATTTGGGAAAAATGGCTCACACGGGTGCCGCCACGGGTGCCTCAAATCGAACAATTGCTGAAATGGATAGAGAATTTGATGAGCTTGCCTCTGCTTTATCCAAAGATCCAAGGGACCAATTGACCTCTGGTATAGGTTTGTTTTATACATTCAGCACCACCAAATATTTCTTTGCGTAAAAATTCTGATGTATTGTAGCATGTTGCATCAAAGGAAATTAGGAAAGCTACAATTTTCTGCAGCCTCGTTTGTAATATAATGTTTCTATATTGCTTTTAGTGTATAAGAAAACTTACATGATCTTTTGTTAAGTTCATATGATGTGTCTTCTAGTTATCAGCAACACGACTTATTAGTACCGATAGCGATTCCATTAATAATCTCCATAAGAACATGCAAGTTCTTGACTTCTTATTTAATTGAATGCACCATTACTTGTTCATAGATCTGAACGAGAGCTGCTATGAACAAACACATGGGGTTTGTGTTCATGCCGATGTAAAAAATCCTAGTTATATTACTTGCAACTGTGTTCACTTGCATTACTTCGTGTGCTGATGGTACAATAAAAGATAGCCATTTCTGTTGTATTTAGTTATGTAAAATTTACAAAATGCCTATTTTTGTTTCTACAGGTGAAATAACAACCATGTTACGTTCGCGTGGCTCTCGAACTGACAATGAACGTGATCAATTTGATTCAGATGTGGCAAAGGATGAAAATAATCAAATAAATGCTGCAACACACAACACTAAAGGTGTTTTGCTAATCTGAAACCTGCTTCTTTACACCATTGTTTATTTCGCTGATTTAGCTAGGTACTGTTATGTTGATCTACATTTATTTCTTTATACGACATAATAACAAGTGCTGCATTTAGCATGTCACAACCTGTTATACTAATCTAAAATTGGATTCTTGACACTATAGAGTACAAACATTACATTTAATTACCCTTGTTCTTTTCCCTAAATTAACTAGGACTTGCTAAGAGTGGAAGAAAACTTACAATTAACAATCAACTTCACAAGAGAAGAGCAAAAGGAAAGCATATTGATATAAAGTTCCCTAAAGAATTTGCAAAAGTGTGTGGAGAACATGCTAGTTTATTTAAAAGTGAGATAACAGTTCTTATAAGAACTGTACCACTCCAAGTGAAGAAGTGGAGGGACATGGATAAGTTTCATCCTGGTACTACTACATCTATTTGGAGAAAACTGAAGGTGACCTACTTTTCATATGAAATGAATATATTTGGCATGCATAGGTTATCATTGCATTCAGTGGCCGGTTATTACAATATATCTTTGCTGTACAGCAAAAGTTTTCTGAGCTTTCAGAAGAAGATAAAGATTGTGCCATGAGACAAGTAGAGAGTCAATATAATAATCGGCGTTACCGTCTACTTCAAGCTTACCGAAACAACAAGCCAAGGCCACAACATGTCTCACCAGAAGGTTGGCAATGGTTGATAAGGAATTTGTGGACGGATGATGATTTTCAGGTACATACAACTCATGTCCTAAATTACAGTGCTACATAATTGTTAATGATACATTTATGCAATTTGTAAACCAGAAAAGGAGCAACCAAAACTCTATCAACAGAGGAAAGCAAGAGATGGGGTCCAAAGTAGGAACTAGATCAATTGCTCAAATCGCTTACGATCTGGTGAGGAAAATAGTTACTTGGTAGATTTTTTTCTATTACACATCGTTCTGAATTAGTGAATATATGCTTTTGTTATTCCAATGCAGCGAGACCCAGAAACTGGTGAATGGTCTACTGCTATGCAAGTTTGGAAGGCTACATATCAAAAGGCTGATGGGACATGGTCCATTCCAACGGGTGAAGAAATAATGGTATGACCATATTACTTCCCTTTCTGATGGCATCTTTGGGTTTCACATTTGTCAATCTGTATCCTACCTTTTGAACTAGGATTAGGTGGAAGTGGTGTGTTTTTTGTATGAAAAAGTATGGTAGTAGAATTATGTATGACTCTTTCATGGTTATTATCTCTGCAATGTAGTCTCTGTATTGTTCATTTAATGAGTTCAAAAGTCTAGGCACTACGAAATGTTTGCAGTATCTCTAATCATGAACAATATCGTTTTATTAAGCTGTTTGTAAATTTCATATATTATTAAATTTGTCTACAATTTTCAATTATTAGATAACATGTTTGCATATTTTTTTGAACAGTAGCAACTCTGAGAACATTTGGATGTTACACTACCCTATAGCTAATTTGTGCTCATACCTATGATTCATTACATGAATGCTTTTGCCTGCTGTGTAGTATATGGGTTCTTAATTAATTTGTTTTTCGTGCTTTGCAGACCAAACTACATGAAGCAGCTAGGATACATCAAGAAAAGATTTCTTCTGCACCCATGCCAATAGTGGAGCACTTCGCATTAGTTCTTGGTCGAAAGCCAAACCATTCACGTGGTGTTGGCATTCGTGCTGTGAACCAAGTGGCTGAGGAAAGAATCAGATTGCAAGCGCAAATTGAGGCTTCAGAACAGCGTGAAGCTGCAGCTCAAGCACATGCAGATGCTGCTGAGAAACGTGCTGAGGCTGCTGAGCAACGAGCACAAGCTTTGGAAGGCCAAGTTTCCATGGTGGTCGAAACAAATGCACAACTGCAAGAAGAGCAGCAATCCCAATGTGATGAGATGAGTTCTTTGCGTCAAGCACAGAGTGGAGAAGTTGCTCGCCTAGTGAGAGAACAACTTGATCATCAGATGGCTGCATTAATTGCACGCATTGGTGCCTCGCAGCCTCCAGCATCTTAGAGTTTAAACACTTTAGTTGAATAATTATTGTGAGACTTTAAAGTAGTATCAAGAGAGTTATTTTGAGGTTTGAGTGTTCTTAGTTTTATGTAATGCTTGAATGCCAAATTTGAATTATTGAAATAAATATTATTGGTGCAGATTTGAAATAATCATATTGCTATAATGTATATTTGTTGAGCTATTTTTGTCACTACAACAAGGATAATAATGATAACTTGGTCGCCACAACATCTAACTTGGAGGTTGGCAGGCGCTAAAGGCATTAGTGAACTGGTCGCTGCTCGACCTGGGGTTTAGCAGCGCCTGTTGAGGGAGGTCGTCTTTTTTACAGTTTTAACTGGCGCGTATGTAATCTAGAGACGGTGTGTGTGTGTGTTGTATGGCTATATAAGCCTTTTATCCCCTTTCTTAATGCAATGATACGCAGCTCTCCTGCATATTCTAGAAAAAAAGAAACTTATCTTGTGACAAAACTTGTCCTGACTAATATTTTCCTACAAATGCTATGCTTTTTTGTGATGAAACTATTGATACATTTTGTCTTGTCAGTTCTCACAAAAAGATATTTTTTTGTGACAAAGGTTTGCCACCGTAGTTTACATGTGAGGATTAGTTTGCATCACAAATGAAAAGTATTTGTGTTAACAAGTTACCACTTTTTCCCATACATATTATGGTGAACAATTAGACAATTATAATTTAATAGTGAGAACAAGCATCAACACAACAAACTCAAGTAATGGCGAAACTTCTATCACTAATATGTAGTCTTTAGTGACCACAAAATTTCCCACTTTTACAATGGTAATTGTGACAATTATATTGCCATAGATTCTATATAGTTGTGGCAACTATTATCACCACTAAAAACATTATGAGTGGCATCATTTTTTGCCACTAATGCATATGTTTTTGTGACAACGAATGAGCCACAAATGCTCCTGTTACTAGTGGCAGTACAATTTATCACTAATGAGTATGGTCATTTGTGGGGAACAAAAATTCATCACTAGAGTATTTGTGAGGCGAGTATTTGTGGCAACTAGTGGCGATTTAAAAATTCGCCACAAAGGCTGGTTTGTGGCGAAAAAATAAGCTTTTGTGATGAAAATTTTGGCAACAAAAACCCTTTGCCCTTGTGGTGGTTCAAGCGCGTGCTTCGGGTATGAACCCGGTGGTTCTGTGGTTGTGAGCTGATGAACTTGATCGATGGTGGTTTTTTACTTGAAAGGACTAAAAGGGGACCCCTTTGTTGGAGGGAGCGCATCCCCTTTTATAGATAAAAGGGATGGCTTTACAAGTGAGAGGATGAGGGTACGTATGCTATTGGGCTTTGTCGCCCATGCCGGTGGGTACAAGATAATAGTAGGCGCCTACAACACTGTTGGTTGTTACTATAGAGTGTCAGATGCACATGGGAGGTTGCGTTGCCTTCTCCAGAAATAGCAGATGTTGGTACCTGCAAAAACACTATTGATGCCTAGAGGCATGTGAGGAGTTTCACCACGTTCACCTGGTATGGTAAATCCCGGCGCCCACAACACTATCGATGCCCAGAGGCATGTGGGGGGCCTTACCATATGGGAGTTTTAACGGCGCCCATAACGCTATAGAGGAAAATGTCGGCGCCTATAATATTGTTTGTGTTAGGATGGTTGCAGAGTACTATTTCTCATAGTGCTCAGGGTATGGTCCCTGGTAGTGTGTTTTGACTTGTGCTCCCTGGCTTGCTTTTTCTGTTCGTCCCCTGGTTCCTTCGGCGGTGTCCCCGGTCGGACGGCTCTAGTCGGCATTGGTCGCGTCAGTCGGATAAGAGCGGTGAGCAGGGTTTCTATGTACCCCAATCGGAGACGCGGGGTCGGAGTCGGAAGTAGTACTTTGGGCCAGGCCTTCCGATAGGAGAGGCCGTCCGGAGGCGGCTGGAGTCCGAAGCGAGCGCTCCAGTCGGAGAGGTGGGCCGAAGTAGTCAACGAGTGGGCGTTGTTCCTCTTTGGCCAGACCTTCGGTCGGTGACTGGACCGCCCTTTCGGCCTGTTGTCCTCGACCCTTGGGCCGGCCCACGAGTGATATGTTGTCTGCTTGGGCTGAGCCTTGACATGGAAGCCGGTCCCCAAGGGACCCCGGGTTTGTGAACCCGACAGGAGCCCCCGGGCGATTCGGCAGAATTGTCCGGGGGATTTTGCCTTGCCGGTGGGTGCGCGCGAGCGCACCCGCGGGTGTCGCCCCCGGGCGGTTCGGGCAGAACCGGCTGGGGGCTTTTTCCTGTTGTCAGCGGGGGGGGTTTTTTGTTGTGTTGGCGGGTGCGCGTGAGCGCACCCGCGGGTGTAGCCCCTGAGCCCCCGGGCGGTTCGGACATAACTGTCTGGGGGATGTTCGGTTTTAGCGTGTGTGTGTGTGTGTGTGTTCGAGACCGAATTTTTTACCAAGGCGTCGTTGTGCAGCCGAGGTGGTTTAGGCGTGGGGATTGGATTTTGAGACAGAACTGACTGATCCTGGCGTCGATGAGCGCCGTAGGACCGGGTGAGGAAGTTTAGTTAGGGCGTGACTGAGCTCACTAACCCTGGCATCGTTGTGCCATGGGATCGGGATAGTCGGAGTCACGAATGGACCCTGGCGTCGGTGCGCGCCGTGGATCGAGACAGTTAGTTTTTAGGGATCGGACGAGACGGAGCCCGTGGGTCTGGGCGTCGGTGCGCACCGTCGGACCGGCGGGTCGAGTCGTGGATCCTGGCCTCGGTATAGCCTGGGCAGCCGAGGTACCTAGTTTTAGTTAGTTTTTGGGATCGAGACGAGCCGGGGCTTGTGGATCCCGATGAGGCGAGTTCGGGGTCGCGGTCCTAGGAGCTTGGTGTGCAGTCAGAAGCATAGCCGGATGGGGCGAGATTGGGGTCGTAGACCTAGGTGTCCTTGGAGCGTAGTCGAAAGCGTAGCCGGATGGGGTGAGATCGGGGTCACAGACCCAGGTGTCCTTGGAGCGCAGTCAGAAGCATAGCCGGATGGGGCGAGATCGGGGTCGCAGACCCAGGCATTTTGTGTTTTGAGCCCCCGAGCTTTGTTGGGCTTTAGTAGGGATCATGTGAGTTTTGTGTGTTCACCCCATCCTTGGATCCTCACAACCGGAGGGGCTGAGTTTTGTCGCCATCCCGATCGCTCGGGCTCGAGTGACGCGCTCGGTGAGTTCGCTAACAGGTGTGATCGAGTGGAATCCGGGTCCGTCGTTCGTGATGGGGTGGCATAGCCCTCTTGTGACATTCCACTACTCCTTTACCTGCAACCCGGTAGATGTCTGGGTCGTTCTAGAGACCGACCTGGGTGGCCTAACGGCCTCCCCTCGATGGAGATTCTATGGGCTTGGCGAGAGGTTCAGGATTGAACGAGAAGGTTGAGATGACCCAGTCTGCTAGACCGGGCGAGGGCCGCACAGGGCTCATCTATGATTTTCTCCCCTGGCTCTTGTTGGTTTCTTATGTCGAATGAGGCAACCGCCGCTTCGTGACGCAACACGGAGCGTTCTGATGCATTTCGCTGCACATGCGATGCTTAGTTCCCGAGCCCCCGTGCGGTTCAGGGCCCAAATCGTTCGGGAGGCACGGGCGTATGGAATGAATGCACATATGGATGTATGAAATGCTTATAAGGAAATGGAGGGGGTTGGTAGTGTTCACCTTGATGACTTTGAGTGACGGGGTTTAGAGAGCTTCAGTCGGAAATGTCCAACCGGGACCCGTGTTCGTCGTTCGTGACGAAGTTGGCATGGCCTACATGGGGCGTCCCTTTGCTTCCTACCTGTGTCTCAGTGTGTCTTTCTGACCTGTTCGATCGACTTGGGAAGCCCAATGGTCTCTCCTGGCGGAGATCCTGTTTTGGATTTTTCTAAGTCCCGCCTGGGGATGCGTAGAGCTACCCGCGTGCGGTGGTGACGCTTTGGTTTTCATGCCAGGTCATGCGATAGTGGTGGGCCATACCTAGGCCATGTCTCGCCTCACCAGGCGGTGCTCCACCTGACCAGGCGTCGTTCTATCGGTTAGTGCGCGTCCCATCGTTTCCCGTCCGTATTGAATGGGGGAAGGAAGAGTGTTTTTCGCTCTGATCTTTTGCCCTCTTCGGCTGTCACGTTTCTTCCTTTAATAGGGGGAGGGAGAGGGCTCTCCATCACAGTCCTTTGCCTGTTCACCAACTATTGTCTCTCCTCCTTATTCCTTCTCACCGAGAGTGCTCTGTATGCCACGGCGGTTCCTAAGTGAGAGAGGGGGTGAGCGAGGGGAAGGACTTACAAATCCTTTCGTGGATTCGGAGCGTGATGTCGAGCTGGAGGCTGCCTGGGGCGGTGCTGGATTAATCTGCGAGGCCTTCTTTGGGATGGAGTCGTGTGCGGACTTTCTTCGGTGGATCTTCGCCAGGCGAGCCTTGTTGGAGGGGAAGTTGCTCAAGATCGTGACGGTGGAGGGTTCCGCGCCTGCAACTGCTGCTGCTCAGGTTGGCCAGTTCATAAAGTTTGATGAGATCTCTTCCAGCCATGGCGGCCATACTTCGGTGATGATGTCCCTATCCAGGAGCTGCCTCGGCTACATGAGAAGGTTCACAACCCCATGCTCCTCTGTTGAGCATCTATGGGTGCGATGCCCTTGAGGTACTCGTTACGCTCGCGGAAGTCAAGGGAGTGGAACCGGCAGGTCCCTTGAGGTACCCGTTGCGCTCGCCGAAGTCAAGGGAACGGAACCGGGCGGGGTCCCAGCGGCGGTGGTTATGTCCGGCGGCATTTAGGTGATGTTGTTAGGCGGCCGCAGTAGTATTTGGAATAGTAGAAAATGTAATAGCTGAGTTTTGTGGGTGAGTCCCCGTGTGAACAGTTTTTTGTGTCATTGAATACATCAGTACTGCTTTTGTGATAGAATCACTATCAGTCCCTCATTTTTATCCTGTCATAACTTTTGTTTTTATGCTTTCTTTTTCGTACCTACCCGTTTGTCCGTAGGCTGCAACTTTGGGAGCCCGGG